GGTAAACCATACCACAACTTTATCAGCTGGCAGGATATGAGGGCTGGACATTGTGTTGAGAGTTGGAATAAATCTCTTGCCCTTAAGGTCTGTAATGTGAGCTTGCAATTTTTTGTTAAAAGCATTTAAATTTAGGTTTAGAATCTCTCTTCAGTGATCAATTCACATTATCAACTCAGTTGATAAAATCAAAATATCTTGTGATGCCCTCCACCAATGCAGCACCACAGTTTCTTTAAAAATTTGCTCCCTATATTAGCTAAACACCTTTTGCTTCTTTTTGACTTTTGACTTTTAACCTCTGGTAAGTAATAGTACCAAAATATCCTGATAAAGTGCATTTCAATTGAGTTTCTATAACAAAAACCAAAGTAATCACAACAGCCAATCAGACCAACAGAAAATTTCTGAAAGAGCCAATGGCAACTCAAACAAGCTAACTGTCTGAAGGGCAGGAAGACACGGATGACCAATTCGTGAGCAATATAGTTCTGCATCTGATTGGTTGAGAATGTAGCGAGTTTACTTTGGACCAATCACAGAGCAATTGCAAAATTCTCTATTGCCAAGTACATCAGTTCCCTTGACACAATCACAGTCACTCAATTTCAACTTGCTGAAGAACCAATAACAAAAATATCAAAAGCTTATATGCCATGTACACCAAAGCTTAAACACGTTTTAAAGCTGTTGTATCAAACATGGTTTGAAATTGTTTTCTCCAGATAGAAATATAAGCAGATATTTGTTGACTTCGAATTCAGCGAATTGAAGTATAAGTTCTTTGCTTGTGATTTCCCGTCAGTCAAACTCGGTTTAAGTAAACATGTTTTGTTTTTGCGAATGGGACATTAGACTAACCTACGCCGAAACTGCACTGCTTTGATGACGAGGACAAAATGCATATGGAACGAGTAGTTTAACAAACAAGCCCTCCTTTGGTTATATTGTCTCTGTTTAACACTAATATTTTAAAACTTCTCTTTAAAGAGTTTGAATGTAGGGTCTAAATTTCTTCACATGATCTCAAGACAAAAGAAATACTTGGCTGGAAGCGTCATTAGCTTTTCAACTCAACATGTAAGTGAAATCAATTTGTGCGTTTAATGTTACAGTCAGTGAGGCAACAGAACAACTTGTGTTGAAGTAAACTGTTTTGTGTTTCACGTATATTATTTGTCAACTCGTAAATAGCTCTATGAAAAGTAAAATTACACACTTGAAACCAACCTTCTTTGGTCAAGACTTTCTCATTGTTCCACGAGTGATATGTTCAGGATTGGAAAATATTTTATAATGTTTAGAGCTCAACCAAATCGTATCACGGAGCACGTGCTGTCAACTACGCATGTACTTCCAGTCCCAAAATAGAACCACATAGAAGGAGTTTGGATCCTAATTAATACATTACATATTTGACGACAGCAGGGATGGAAAAGCAGACATGTCAAATGATCCTTCACTCATATTTTCTTCTCATTTTCAACATAAAACCTAATGCTTTAAAAGTTCTACACTGGTGAATTATGTTGCAATTGGTTCCCCACTAAGTCATTTTTGTTTTGTTTCCAGACATCAATTAGGCTTCACTGGTTGTTCAAGACGCATCCAGATGTAAGTGTCTATATAGAATGCGGCTGCCTTGCACAATCAGCTAATCAGCCTCTGCATTGAATTCTCGGAAATGTGTGCTAGGTCGACGCAAACGAGATTGCACTTCATTATAAGAATACTTAATCAGAGTACACGGAGTACAGTATTTACCACCTGTATGCTTTATTAGATACATTTTGTGCTGACATAAAACTTTTAAGGAAAAAACCTAATGCGAATTAGAAGAATGTATTGTAACAGCTAGTGGTTTTTCAAATCATGACATATAATTTATTTTTTCGCATGCAAATCACTGTAGCTTGCTAAAAAGGCAGATCTTGGTAACTTAGCATTTGGAACAATTGACTCCTGGCTTATCTGGAAACTAACAAAAGGTATTACGTACATTATGATAATATACCTCTTACTAACCGAGTTTTGAGATCCGTACTGTAAGTTACGGACCTCGTTTTTCCGCTTAGATTTATGACCAAAGCGCTTCGCACATGGACCAAAAACCCGAGCGGAAAAATCGAGGTTCCGTAACTTACACTACAGACTGAGAAAACGGGGTTGGTGAGATAATTATTAGATCTCTGGGTTCAAATAAAAAAAGAAGATTTCAATTCTAATGAACTTTTGAAGTTAGCGGGCTGCACACCGAAATATGGCCCATTAAATTGATGAATCTTGGCGCACGCACTGACTGAGAGATAATGAATTCAACTATGTACTTGTTCCTTAGCATTTTGGTCCATACGCAATCCAGCATAAGAAAGGGCTTAAATCCAAACTGATTTGCAGTTCGGTACCCTGGAATCTAATTTTTATATAGAAACTTAAGTATGCCTTGGCACTGGTTTAAAAAGTAACTTGTTTTTATAAAATATTGTATTCTACCACAAGAATTTACCAAGCTGAAGAAAACTGTTGCTTTTAAGTTTTCATGTGTATATCGTCAGGTCAGCTTCATGTGACAGATTACTCCAATGCAAGCGGTACAGGGATGTTTGATCCTTTTATTGTAAGTAAACTTGCGAGATTCTAAGTGAAATCATTAACGCTTGAAAATTTCAAATCAATGTCAGTATCTGTACAACTACGCACCTGCCCCTCCCCTAACCCAACATTAACCTGACCTTGTTATCAGTTAACTGTTGTTGGGTTTGGGGAGGGGTTCCTACGAAATTGCTCAGATACTCACACTGATACAAAATTTCCATGTAAAGAGCTTTTTTTGACTGATTGCGATAACTTTAGGTTTAGTTTCACTACACTAAATTGTCACCAACATACATTGCCTCTTTAAATGTTTTCATTGCAGATGGAATGGAGCTCAATAATGACAAGTCTTTTGAGTGTACCACTATCAATCTTTCCAAAAGTAGTTGATACCAGGTAAGTTCAACTTCAAAGTTAAATTTCTCAACTGTGCTCTTCAGGTTCATTGTAAAGTTAATCCTGTTACTCGGAAGAGTAAAATGGTTGGAGAAAAGTCTTAACAATTATCATAATTTTGGTTATTGACGTGAAACTAATCGTCTTCCGCTGATTCATACCTTCGAAGGTTGGTGTTTGTTAGTTTAATGAATGTAGTATAGGCGATGAGTGCTAAACCTCTAAAAATCAGAGACAGCACTAAGCCAAGATGTGATCTGCAGTGGAAAGTGAACTGCTCATCTCAGGCACGAAACTGTTAGGCTAAAATAACGCAAAGATGTTTTGGAGTTCCTCGGTCCAGAACGAGAAACGTTGCAATTCAAGCCCCAAAAGACGAACCTGATATTGTATGAACATGAGGGGCGAACCAATCAAGCTACGACATACAAAAAGAAAATGTCCTTTATTTATAGTTATAAGACCACGGTATTACGTACAGAGGAAAAACGATAACGTATTTTACTACTCTGGTCATACCTTTCCAGGTTACATTTAGGAACAAAAACAACAACAACAACAAAAGCAACTGGAAATGTCGTAATGATAATCTAGAAAAAAACTTTTTTAAAAATTAAAAAATAGTATCTTATTGTCGTCCCTCAGCAAAAAATTTAAATGTCTATCTTCTCAGAAATCCTTTCAGGCAACAATATTCAGCAGTTTCTGCTAATTTCGAAGAAAAGCTGGCGCCATAAAAACGTTGCGAAAAAAATGCAGAATAAGATAATTTGGTTTTCTGACTTCATAATGTAAATTGGCCACTGAAGAGATTTTCTGAGGTGATAGGGCTGACGAAGGGTTAACACTCTAAACTTTAGCTGTAGAGACTCTTTACGGAGGCCAAGTTACTTGATCAACTCAGTTGATAAAATTTAATTATCTTGTTCTACTCCCTCACCGATACAGCACCACAGTTTCTCTAGAAACTTACCCCCTTTTCATGAATACAATACAGACCTCGATTGGTTGCTTAAATAATCATCCAAAACTTGCTAACGTCACACCTCACATCATTTCGGCAACTTCTCGATTGCGTTCTTGACCGGCCTTTGAATCTTTGATTTGATTCTTAAACCTACATTTTTTGACTACTCTTTTCCACTATAGCGGTCTCATTTGTGAGAGTCATAAGGCTATCTTTGGTGCTCCAATACCTGTACGGGCCTTGGTAGGTAACTTTTGTGTTTTGAGAAACTGTTTCTGACAATAGAAACTATATGTAGGTAAATACTACTAGCAATGAGAATACTCTAACGAAAACAACGATTATACTGGCGAGAAATAGATCGCTACCGGCTTTACGTAATTTTTACACAACCTCACGCAAAAATGCGAATTTAATTGAAAAGAAAAAGGACATTACAGCAGTAGTTCAATTGAAAGAAAACAATATAAAATCAGTTCGCAGTTACTTAACAATAAATAGACATGCAATTCTGTGCTACACTATATGTGTTCAGTGTATTATATCGTTTACAAGATCTTAAGTCGACCTTACAATGGGGGCATTTTTCTCCCTTTTTTCTGGCTGTTGATATGTGAAAGTATACATTGTTACAAAATGTGATGCACCAGGTTACAACTGAGCGGATTGGACCGAGTGAATCGGAGCCAGATAGCTCAGAAGTATTTTGTTTTTTTATGGTCAAAATGGAATACAGTAAGCTGAATTGACGGTCAATACCGCGAAGTATTACTGATTTCAGACATCCTCGCTAAGCAAGCTTACTATTGTATAGAATGGTTTCTCTGGTAGAAGCGCTGGACAGAAAAATTCTAAACACCTCTTGAAACGTCATGTAAACGTAAACGAAATATTGACCAACCAAGGCTGAACCCATCTTTAGGCGCGTCACTAAAAGAGCTATGTGAGAAAGTAAATCTCGCTGAAAGATAAGGTTAAGCGTTTTTAGATTGACTTCCCCTAACATTGCTATTGTTCACAGGGTATATCGTGTGTTTTGTTATTGTTTTTGATTCTTCTGTTCAAACTTTCATTTGGTTTTTTACCTTTTGCTTGTGTACACTCTTCAAGGTTGCAGACCAACAGGCCGCGGTGTTTGGACAGTGTTGTTTTGACGCAGGGGATGTAAATTGTACAATGGGAACGGGATCGTTTATAGATATAAATACAGGCCCGTATCCGCATGCGTCTGTGGCAGGTACAATAGATCTGTACTAGATCTATTTGAGAAAGAAAGACTGATGGAGCGAATATCGATTATTAACATTTTAACCCCTGAGAGTGACTAGCATCTAATTTCTCTTTACAATATCACCCCCAAAATCACACATAAAGGTCACGAAAAAAAGAAATGATAACCAACGATAGAAGCTCTAAATTGTTAATCAAATTCTCCTCGTCAGCACCTTAGGAAATGTATTGAGAACAGTATGGAGAACTTGTTTATTGATGTTAGGGTGTAAAGGGTTAAAGGGTGTGAAAACCATACCTTCGACCATCGTGTTAGTTAGAACGACGGTTAACATCACGAATAACCAGTTAGAACTCAAAGCAAATACCTAAGATGAAAAAAAAGGGACAACCGATTGTCTTTTGGACTTGGTTTTGTACATGACAAGTTGAAGTGGCAAGTTTTCTAGACAAATCGCACACCCATACGGTTTCAGAGCACTAACCAAGGAACCTAGTCTTGCGAGAAAACTGTAAATACTGTAATGTGATGGTATAGTCAAGATTTTTATAGGGTTCTAAGAATTGGTTCAACAGGAATGAAATGGAAAGGAACAGCTTTTAGATGGAACTAGTGGAAAAGGGCGGCAAAGTCGTACCGAATGCTTTTCAGGGCTCAGTTTTCAGAGTCCATGTCACATTATATCTCACCAAACTTTGGCAATTTCGTGGCTTAAAAGTGAGATGCATCTTTTTGTACTTGTGATGATTTTATAATTTACCCTCAATAGGACTTTATCCAATTGTCGGATGGAAGATAGGAGGGGAGACTGTTTATCTAGCAGAGGGCAATGCTGCAGGCTGTGGAACAGCCATGGAATGGGCCCACAACATGGGTGGGTAATTTTTTGCGATTTTTGTAAAGCAAATTAGCGTAGTTTATCAGTATTCGGGTGATCCTTTGGTTTGTTAGTTGGTCTGTTGGTTTGACCCTTTGTATTTGACAGTCAGGCAGTCAGTCATTTAGTCAGTCAGTGAGCCAGGTAGTCAACCAGTGCGTCAGTCAGCCAGTTATCAGTGGGTCTGTCAGTCAGACAGGCAGTCAAACAGTCAGCCAGTTAGTCAGTCTGTCTGTCAGTCAGACAGTCATTCAGTCAGTCAGTCAGAGAACCGGTCAGACAGTCCATCAGTCAGCCAGTTAGTGAGTCAGTTCATCAGTCAGCCAAGAAGTCAGTCATCCGTCAGTTAGACAGTTAGTAAGTCAGCCGGTCAGACTTGTTCATCAATATTTCTGCCCGCACGTCCGTCCATACGTTCCTACAACATCAGTTGGGTAGCCAATCAGTCAGTTAGTCAACCGTTTATTCAGTAAGTCAGCAGTCACCTGGTTAATAGGCCATTTATTTATAGACAATCAGTCAGTTAATAAGATCTTTTTTCAGTCGACCATCCAGTCCGTCACGGGACCGAACGCTCAGTAGCGAGCCAAGTGCCCAGTCTTATTCATATCCGAATTCCAGATTAATTTCGTTTCCATCTCGCCTCGGTTCGCTCCGCTTTCATCACGAATCACATGCAAGGTACTTTCTCATCAGCTCAGTATCATTTCTTGAAGTAAATATTTCTTTCTCGGCAGGCTTTTACGACGATGTCTCGCAGACGAGCGACATGGCTTTTTCTGTAGAAAGTAAGCTCAATAATAAAGACTAACCTCTATGGTTCGTTTGTTTCTTTCTGCTTAGAGTTCTTCATAAACTTAAGGAAATTATGAATGAAAAGCTTTGGTTGCTGCATTCAGCGTCTCTGTGTTGAATCGGTACAATGTACATTTTTAACCGTAATATTAAAGAGAACGTAGATTGTTAAAACAAAATTTATTAAAGACGAACCAGGTGTTTATTTACAAAGCACACGAAGTTACGACGTTTTGAAACCTTTCTCTGTCAATCTCTGCCAAGCACATTTCCATGGAATGTGATACCAGATCCTACCGCTTTTCACACAGTGATCGTTTATCTCTTATTTCTCGTTGCGATCCTGTTCAAAGCGTGTGGAGGAGTATAACTTGGGACGGCCAAGAAACAAATCCAGTTCAGTGGCAGAGTGGACTGGCTTTCGCTTCACTTGGGACCTTCAGATTCTAAACCTTCTTTCCATGACCACTCGACTACCTCGCCTGCATAAAATTTCCCACGTCGCCGCAAACCATCCCAAATAATTCAATTTTACTCTGTTTTTCTCTTATAGCTTCAGGTGGAGTTTACTTTGTTCCCGCTTTCAATGGATTACAAGTAAGTAGTGATGTAGTGTTCGCTTTTTAGGTTGTCTGGGTTGCGTGGGTGATTGATTAGGTTGTGTGTATGATGTACGTTGCCCGTCAAATAAAATGTGTTTACTCTTTTTGTTTACTCTCTGTTTGAACATGTAACATCGACCTTTACATCATAGTTTGCTCTGGTTGGGACATAACTTTGGGTTCTGCGACAAAAAAAACGTTGGATGCCGACCTTAATTCGTCACAATATCCCGCTGTTCTGTAAGATATATGCATATATATGTAGTCAGTGACCTCCCTTTTGACCTCTAGCTCGAGAAACATTGCGTCTTTACATTTTTTTAAATTTTTAACTTACTTTATTATTTTTTTTTTAATTGTGTTTCTTTAACTTATATTTTTCTTTTTGCTTTCCACTGAGTTATTCCTTTTGTCTCCCTAGGCTCCAATCAATGACAACAAAGCTTGTGTTTCACTGATGGGAATAAAATCCACCACTAACAAAGCTCACATCATGAGAGCTATTTTGGAATCTATAGCCTTCAGGTAAATGTTAGTTTGCAAAGCTGGTTGTTATGTACGTTCAATAAATATGGAGGCGACGAGGATTCTTGCTTTTCTTCTTCCACATTTGCACAATCTGCTGGCTTCGCAGTTAGGGTGAATAAAAGCGTTGAATAAATTGAGTTGTCAGGCAAGAAGTGTTACTCGACTTAACAAGGCACGGAAGTAGTGAAACACAAATACAGGAACTTCAGCTTATTATCTGTGCCCGGCCATTCCAAACTTAGCGGAAGGATTTTAGACAACTAATCTCCTATTTCTGTTGAAAGGTGAAAATGTTGTAGCGACGATCAACAAAAACCAACAAGATAATGGATAAAAAACATCGCACTGGTAACGAAAAAGGGAAGGGTGGTAGGCTGGTACAAAGCTGATACATAGGCTCGCAATGCTATATGGTTGACTAAGATTCTTAGGTAATTTTTAAGCAGCATATGGCAGTTTGCGGCCTTTCCCTACATCTAGGCAGTTCGGAAAGCCGCCAAACTCTAGAACAAAAATTAATCTTTGAAATCGGCACGTACAATCCCCACGGTATAAACGAGCGCTTTCATTCAACTATTTATTTTTGTTTTTTCGTCACCATATTCGCACCAATAGCGTAGCTCTATTTTCTGCATATAGACACGCACACAACCCACAATTCCTCCATTCGCTCTGACGAAGGGCTAAAACTCGAAACTACAGCTTTGAAACTCTTTACAGTGGCCAATTTACGTTATCAACTGAGTTGATAATACCAAATTACCTTGTTATACTCTCCCACCGACGCAGCACCACATTTTCTCTAGAAACTTACCCCCTTTAAGATTCTCAGGCGTCTTCGATGGACAGCCCTTAGAAGCAAGGGAAAGTGCCCATAGTTTGCGAGGGTAATCCCTGAAGTTGAACAGTATCAAATTGACGCACACGTGCAGGCTACTGAAATTTGGCAATTCTCAAAAAAACTATCAAAACTCTCAGGTAGAACTTGTAATAAAGAGGAACAACCATCAGTATTAAGAGTTGAGCCAAAAGGTTGGAATTACAATATTCCAATTTAGAGGCTCTTCATACTGGAAAATTTAATAATCAAGTTGTTTAAACGATTCACTCAGGTTTACTCAGCTATATGAAACTGTGGTGGAAGAGACGCACATTCCACTAATGTCTTCAGTCAAGTAAGTTGTAAATTTATTTTAAATTTCTATTTTAAATCGAAAGTCGCCAAAAATCACAAGTATGATTTCAGACCAAAATTGCACGACACAAGGTTCAATTACATCTATTTTGAAATTGCCCAAATACAGGACTTGGTCAGTTAAAATATTTTATTGATGCAATACTGAGCCGGTTTGAAATTAAATTGATTCAATTTTTGGGGGGAAAAAATAAGAGTTTGGGAAACAAAAGTTGCAAAATTTGTCACATGGTACTCTTTGTCTTTCATTTTCCTGCAATTGATTGGTTACTTTCAAAAAGCCTTGAAATCTGATCGGTTGTTTTGTTTTTAGTGTAGCCTCCTCGTTGGCTGGGAAAAAGATGCGATTTAAAGCAAAAAATGGTGCGATTCGTGAATAAATCGCACCAATTACAGCCAATCAGATTACAAGGACCACCAGTGATTTCAAAATGGGTGTAATAAAACTGAGAATTACTATCATTACCATAAAGTTGAATGGTCACAAATAAGTTTTTCATTCAGAGTCGTGAGAAATTATTTTGTTTTGAACTGTCATAGTAATGCGTTTTCAGGTCTTTTGAATGAGGTTTTTGCTTGTGCGCGCGAAAGCGACCTTTTAAGTCATACGCCAAATGTAGGTTTAGGAGAAACTGAAAGATATCCGGAAGATTATCAAGGTCTAATAAGAGCGCGGAAAACTTCAAAAATTTGCTAGGGTTGATACCCATCGCAATAAGTAATATCAGAAACGCGATTTCCGGCAGTTTGAGAATCACACACCTTAGTTACAGCCTTGTAATTGTCGAACACTAAAAGTTGAGGAAATGGCCATTTAAGAGTGAGTTTTTTGTAAAACGTAGGATGGAGCTCTTTTCGACTGATTCTCGCAAAAGAAAAACCAAATGAGCTGAAGCGTAAAATAAGAAAGAGATGAACATAATAATGAAATCCATCGGAACTCAAAGCAAGCACATAAAACTGGCTTCAGGCGCGGGAAAACGAGTGACCAAGTAACATCTGATTGGTCGAGGTTGTTTCGAGTTTTCTAGACCAATCACAGAGCACGTTTATGTGGCTGGGACCATTACTTCGAGGCTGCACAAGGAATGCGTCTGTTAGTGGAGGTTCCACCTCTGAACAGAAACACCTGGAAATTGCATTAGCATGACACAGCTTTAAGATAAAAAAAGGGAAAAAGGAATTCGTGATGTAGACAAAGTTTGTAGCTTTCTGAGTTCTATGGGTAATGCGTCTTTTTCTCTTTCTTTTTTTCATCTTTACAGAGTTGACGGCGGAATTTCTAACAACGACTTTGTACTGGAATTAATGAGCAGTTTAACTTGCCAGACGATAGACCGACCCTCTCAGACTGACATGTCCACTTTAGGGGCAGCCTTCTTGGCTGGTCTCTCAGCTGGTAAGTTTTGTTATGTGAAGAGTCTTCAGCTATGATGTCACACGCATTGCTGGCTCAAGTAAAAATTTTTGTGCGAGGCTCGCTTACTGAGCCATAAATTTGAGCCATAAATTTGTTCATTTGTATATTCAGAGTTTCTTCACTTTTCACCAGAAAGTCTTGTGTGTAGAACTCGTGAATTTATACAATAGTAAGTTTACCAATTTACCTCAATCAAAAAACTACCTTAGTTTGAGGTTAAAGTAATTTTCTGCTATTGCCGTAAGTAGTCAAGGATTTCGTTACATTTACTTTTCTGTGATTGGCTCAGAAAACTCGTGCAATTTTCTCAACAGTCAGAAACAAACCGCAACCAATCGCGACTTGTTCACAAGCTTTTTCCCGCGCTCCAATCAGTTCCCATTTTTTTCTTCTGAATTTTCATTGGCTCGTTCGGTGTCGCGCTTCCCTCTATTATGACTGGCCTCTTTCACAACTAAAGTTTTGCGGTTATGACAATCAATCAGCACTCTATTTATCTGCTATATTTCATTTGTATACCAGGAGTTTGGAAATCACGTGACGAGTTGAAAGCAATCCGTTGTTCCCAGGCCCTCTTTCAACCGAAAGCTTCCATCCGGGATAAATTCCTGAAGAATTTTGACGAATGGAAAGAAGCGCTGCACAGGAGTACGAATTGGTACAAATGGGAGTGATTTTCTCTTGGTACAACAGAGAATTTCGTTTTGTTTTATTTCATCGTAAATAGCTTATAGTATTAAAACTGTTACTATTTGCGGCTGAGTTACGCGGGTAGCTATAGTGAAGCATATTAGGCTATATAAACTATTTGACCCTTGAACTCTCAAAAGTGATTAACATGTTACTTCTCCCCATAATATTCATACATTATTCAGCAAACAGGTAGTGAGAATACTCAAACTTATAAAGTAGAAAAGTTGTTATCTTGATCTAGCACCAAATTCTCGTGACAAGTTTTACAAGGAAATATAGCAAGAGTGGAGAATTAACAATCAGATCTTGGGAATGTTAAGCCATGTTTTTGTAAAATTATTATACTGATGGCGGTGAGGGATATGAAAAAGAAGCGATTATTAAATTATCGTGGACATTTTCCATGCCCAACTGCTCATATTTTATACTCAATATTTCGAACTTTTTCAAACTCACGTAAGGTTGATTTACTTCATTAAATTAAGAACACGTCATGCAATACAATTCTGTCACGTCATTGTGTCACTCCACAGACAAACCTTGTCACAACTGTTAAAACATTTCTCCCTTTCCTCAGTGAATGGTAAAATTGTACCGCCCAAAAGAAAAGAAAAAAAGTGGCAGGGGGAGGGGTGTTTCAACAGAACTTAACGAGGGTATGTTTGAGTGATTTAATTTTCTGAATTTTCTGAATTTTCTTGAACTCTTTCCTTTTTTACCAGAGACTGGTTTTGTTTTGTTGTATTGATTTTTCGGAAAATTATGTAATGAGTGTCATATCTATTATAAAAGATGCGTAGGTAGCTTTACTAATAGATATAAAGTTTTGGACAACAGTGTGTTATTTTGTTTAGCGGTCCTCAACGTTCTCGCTTGTTTTACTGCATTGTGCAGTGAATTGCACACTTCATCCTGGAGAAATATACGTTTAATGAATTGTGCCATTTTATTTAGTTTCTCTCCATAAGTTATATCATTATTTAATGTATATATTTGTAATCAGATCAGAGCATTAAATGACACGATTGACTAACTAGGAAGGTTTTGCTATGTTCCTCTTAACAAGGTGTCATTTCCTTATCACACTCAGTGATAAAAAAATCGCGTACGAGCAGGCCCTCATTAATTAGTGCTTCAGCACGAGCGTTTCCTAGCCCGTGGAAAGTAAGGAGTCCAGCACTGAAAATAAACGAGAGCCGGCGAGAGGTATGCAACGAGTCTGGCACTGAAAATAAACGAGAACCGGCGATAGGTATGCAAGGGGTCTGGTACTGAAAATAAACGAAAGCCGGCGAGAGGTCTGAAAACAAACGAGAGCCGATGAGAGCTAGGTATGCAAGGGGTCTGGCATTGAAAATAAAGTCGCACCACTGGGAAACCTCTCCCCGACTTGTCTCAAATCTTCCCGCGAGCGGAGAAACGTGCATCCTGCACGCATGCCGGTGAATAATCACTTAACTTATCCCCTTGGGTCACGTAGGGATCAAGGTATCGCGGAAAAATTAAAGACGTCGTCTTTTGTGATGCATTCTACAGTTTTTTTTTTCTTATTCACACTTCTTCATGCTTGTTCCTCTAAGGTAATTTTCTTCCTCGTTGAACAAAAGTTTTGTATTCTTCAAGTTGGTTCAAATTCGGTTCTTTCAAGCCTATTTGCGCCCTTAATTTCTAGAAACAAACTTAGGTACATTTCCTACAAAGTAAGAGTTTGCTCCTTTTTCTGTCCGTCTCAAATTTGCTTACTAAAATGTAGTTATTTTTCCGAAACAAATCCCCACCTACCTAATACCTAAGGATACCCCGATATTCCGTCATTGGGGTGAAGGGGCGCGCTCTCGGAAACAAGATTGGCAAACGAGTCGGAAAGCGAGGAATCTGTAGAATGCCTCAGGTCTTCCTTGGCCTTGGCCAGGGTTAGCGATAAGTTACTTGGCATATTTTTTAGCTACAATTGAATTGATCCTTTGAGCTCCTCTGCAGCTTTGTAGGAATTTTTTTTGTTTTTCTTGGGGGGGAGGGGTTTTTGCGTTTGGGTGGGTGGGTCTGCGTATCTATAGAACCGAGAAACTCGACAAACAAGTTAGTTAAGCAATTGGTTCATAAAATTCTTTCATATTTGGGACCCGCTTATATCAGCACAGTATGAAAAGTAAGCAATTATGAATCCTTTTCGATATTTAATGACCTCACTGCTAAGATGTAAGCATTAATTTTTGTCCTCGTATTACCCTAAAGGAATACATGCGGCTTTGGCGCATTTCTTGAAGAACTTCTAAGTCTCACAACAACTTGCGGTATTCATGGAGGAGATATTGTTTAAAAACATAGAGGGATCATTGGAATATTGTAAAGGGGAAGTCTAGCGGCTATCTTTTTTTTTTTTTTTCTTTTTTCAGTTAAGTATAAGTTTCGAAAGGGAAGTTCTACGAATATTTATATTTAAGAGTGATTTATGAGAACAGAAAATCGCGATGTGCATGACTTCATCAATTTCGCGTATTCAAGCTGAATCATGGACAGAAAAAAACCAAGGAAGTTATATGGAAGTTAGTATGACTCGACGTTTACTTACAATACAGGTATTAAATTTTAATAGTGGAAAGCGATCGAATTTTGTACAATTTCTAGTCCGCGCATTCTAGCAGAAGTAAGTTCTTGACGGCAGAATTGTGCCCTTCGTCGAAAAACCTTGATGGATTCCGCTCATGGGAAACTCTATCTCAGATTGAAGTCTCTTGTACATTAGTATGCGCAATATCATCATTCCAAAAATAAACATTACGAACCAGATATTGAGTGTAATATTAAGACATTGCGATAAAGCGAAGATATAGTACATCGGCGGCTGAGGTAAAACGGAAGGAGGTTTGGCGATTCCCATTAACCAAAGAATCTTTCATCTCCCACTAAAGCGAATATGATTGTTCTATGAAACATGTCAGTCTGTTAAGTTGAGAAATTCAGGATATCTGGTAGTTAGAATATGACCGCTAAAGTTGTGTGACCCTGACTCTGAGGTGGTCTATCGCCGCCGATTGTTGTCTTAATTTACGAAGTATTGAAAGCTGTAAATCATGTGGACTTACTAAACCTGTCGATCAAATAACTATGTTGGCGGAGGATTAAAATGAGGCTTGTATCAACAGGCGGACGATAAAATATTTAACTGCCTTTTACCAATCAGAGAAATACGCAGAATGAAACTTATAGAAGGAAATGATGTAATTTGGAGCAACACGTACACCGTGAATCGGATATAAAATATTCGGTTCTTTCGTCATGTCATGTATTCACTTCTTTTCAAGAAGTTAAAAGCACGCAGTTTGCACGGAGTCAAAAATCGATACGTGAAGAAGAACATCATCTAAGGTTGGTGTACTTTTACTTTTGTTATCAGTCCATTTGAAGGTCAAATTTTGCCAGACACTCTCATACAAGGAACGAACGTCACTTTATATACGTCAGTTATGTGAAGTCCGAGTGAAGTGCATCCAGGCACGAAAATAGTAGGATATGTTGATTTCCAAAGCTGCACGCGGTTGTGAGGTTTTCTGCAGGCCTGCAGGCTACATTGAGCCGTGTAAACGTTGACTAAGAGCAGTCCCATTCTTTTTGACAGAGTCCGTCGCGCGAATTAAATGAAAAAAAAAAAACAGTGAAAATGTATTGATGTTAGCACGCTCAAAGTTCCGCGCGACTCGCCAACAGCAATTTTATTTTTAGGCTGACTGTCTATGACTCGCGCGACGGCATCGCAGATTAGGAAGGACTGCTCGTAGTCTAGTGTAAGCGAGACAGCGTTATTTATTGGCACCATAGAAGTGGAATTCTTGTCAACTGACATATACATCCTCATGCATGTTTGACAAACACCTGTCAGAGGCGGTTGAACTGTGAGACTTCGAGTTCATGTGTTAAGTGTGTGTTTAGATAAAAGAATTGACGAGAGCGTTAATAAAACAAAGGCATAGAAACTTCATAGAAAATTGCATGTCGCTTCTAAATCAAATGTTGACCTTTTCCAGAGCCATGTTATGAATTTCTTGTTTTGACTCAACAAGGACATTCCGCAAAGCTGAACATGACCAAAATGGTGCTTTAATTCTTGGGTCACTCGATGGTGAGAATGGAACTAATTTTAAAAATTGGCTTTCGGGAATTAAAGCACGTGGAGATATGAAAATCAGATTTACTAATATACTGCAGATAATATACTTTCAAATAAAACAAAAGGAAACTTTGTGAAGGAAACAAAGTTTGTCAAATTACATTACACCTCAAAATGTTTAATGTAAGTGTTCGATCCAGCACCGGAACTAACTAGTGATACAAATCCTCTTTCTGTTTTGTTTTGTTCTTTTTTTTCTTCTTGGGGTCTGAGTAGTGGTTGTAGTAGTAATGGTGTGATCGATGTGAACAAAAGAACATTCTTGAATTTTTTTTGGGAAATATAATGCTGTTTTGGATATCATTCGTGAAAACAATAAAACGTTCACCAGAAAATCATAATTTGTTATCTTAAAATCAGATTAACTAAAATACTGCGATTTAAATGAGCGAAAAGACTGGACATAACACATTTTGACAAAAGTGGCAAAATGACACAGTGAACTGCTATCGATAGAAATAAAATTTTCACAGCAAATGATTAAAAAAAAAAATCGCGGAATCTTAACCCTCTCTTTTAAGACGATTCCTTCAATAATTTTCAGATTGCGTGTCCAACAGACGAAATTGATAGTTATCAATGCTAAGATTATGCGCGCGGTGTTTGTGATCTATAACAAACAAGCACCAAAACCTATCAAAGCTGTTTAAATTTACCTCCCAAACAATACCTCCTGTCAGGATTGCAAGAAAAAATGATTTAAAAAATAATTAAGTAAAATATTTTGCATACACGATAATCACGCGAGATCTCAGAGACACGCAATCGCTGGCAAGTGTATATTATCATCAACTGGTCGAATTCGTGTTTATTTTGTTCAAGAAAATGTGGTGACTCCACTTGGAGGAATCGTGATAGTATAGGCTCGTACCGCTTGGGTCAAGTTCAAACTGTAACCTTCAGGTTCAACGGACGCGGAGTTATTTATAAATATTAATTTTCATATTTAATTAAACCACGTCTATATAAATAGAGCATGTTTTGTGCAAGAATATCAGAGACTTTGCTCTTCATCGAGGAATGTGCTAATTGTATTATACATCAGTAAAGTGAATCAACTCACTGGAATTCACCTTGGAAATTGTAGCTGCATAGGCGACATATTTTGTCGACAGACAAAACATTTTAACGAAGACCGGCGCATTTCTACAAGTATTTATTTTTTCCTTTTTTTTTCGAAGGTAAGTTGTCGTAATTAGACAATTTTTTCTCTTTTTCTAGCCTCAACATAATTTTTCCCTTAAAACAAGCACCTGAATTTCTACTTATGGATTCTTTAAGACAATGCACGCTATTTGAGCGAAATCTGAGAGCGCGAAAGCGTTTTTCGTCATTCACTACGTCATCAATACACTGAAATCGCATTGATTCAATTCAAACACAGACATATTTACATAACAATAATTTCCTGTCGAATAAGCTTAAGATGTCACACTTTAGATAGACAAAACATAGATTCACAGCAAAAAAAAAAAAAATAAAGAGAAAAATTAAAGGCAAATTCCTGGCACGTTTGGATAGGCGTGCATTGACGCATGAAACGGGCGTTCAATAGGAAAAAAATTAAACTTCCTACAGGAAGTGCAATAAGTTCTCAAATCGGCCACAAATCAGCACTTCCTTCACGCGAATGCGTGGTAAATGGAATCCCCCACGTGATCTGAACACTCAGTTGTGATTGGTCAACGACAGCCGTAACCTCTACGGCGTGCTTCACCGCTCCTACCCCTCCAGTGTAGACAAGTTTTCTTGCATTTCAATGATTTTGACAATGAAACCATCGCTTTTTCAATGCAGAAATTTACGGATTTAGACGTTAGAAGTGTGTTTTTGGTGGTAATGGTTGCACGCTGTGGCAAAAGGGACTGAAAAACTTATGGTTCGTGGGAACGTTACCGGAGGACAGTTCGACCATCAATTTGGCCTTTTGTTTTTGTTAGATGCTTGAAATTTAGTTCTGTCACTCGCGTGGGGTATTTGTAGAGCGAATCTGATAAAGTTGGCGAACTTGGCCAGTAATATGCTCAATGGTTTCCCAAGTGGATGTCTTGAGCGATCGAGAAAAGGAGATTTTGTCGAATTATGACAGGTTTGGATGTGTATGTGCCCATTCCTGTTCCTGAGTTAGTTGGGTTTACCTGATCAAGCTCTCTCATGTGTTATTTCTTTAGCCGATTTTACGGATTTCTACGAATTCAAGACCCAGTTGGAGATCCATCACTGCCTGACCTGAACCACAAATCGTTATTGCTCAAGGTAAGTTTGAGGTTTGATGACTCTATGTTATGGACTTTTTCTGCAAAGTTTATGATTTCTGTTGATGCACTCGGCGGCTATCATCTTTGCTGACAGTTTGCCGGGAGCATTAATTGTTTGGTAACCGAATAATTACGCGAGCGACGTGGAGTAGAACCATTCTTTATTTACAGTAAACACTTTGCTAATGTGAATAATTATAATTTGCCTTTGAATCCAGGGTGTAGATTTTTTCGAGAAAGAATTGCAACGAGAAGGGAAGTCAGTTCATCCATCCACATTCTGCAGACTGGGACATATTCACCTGTTGCTTGACGACTTTCCTAAAGGTACTGTGAAAATTAAACGGCACTTGGTGAGAAATTGCGTAAGGTTTTAGAGTTATTCCCATATTTTATTACCTAGTATAACGAGGGTTGTTTCTGATCGAAAAGGTTTCGAAAGAAAAGTAAAAAGCTAACACTTTCCTTCCGTGAGATAGTCAGTCTGTGCACTTCAAAGGTTTACCTCTAAAACGTAGTTACAATTGGTAGTGATTTATCGTCTAATTTCTCGATTCGTCGCTCTCTAAATGTGTCTTGTATTTCATTCTCAGCGCTTTCAGCTTACCAGAGGTTCTTTAACGTCCAACAGGTCGATTATTGGAAGGTAAAGATAGCGTATTTTTAATGTTTGCACTCGTGCGAACTTCTTCAGTGATAGTGTACACTTTATTGTATTGTGTTTTCATCTTGGCTTTACATCGCCATGTCGTCGGGCATTTAGAACACACTTCAGCTAGGAAAAGTTTGTGCACACTTTAAGTATTACAGTTTAAACGGAAACTGTAGCACTAGATCATTCCTGTGGTGTTGTATTTATCTTACGAAGAGTTCCTTTTGTTTTCATTTTACGACTTTGATATGGTCGACGAGTTCAACTTTCACTAGAACTCAGTTCGAACTGGAGGTTGTTGTCATGTTTTTAACAGAACCTGTAAACCAGGAAGAGTGAGACAGTGTCCAACCAAAAAGAACGAAATATTTCGGTTTGGTATTCACATAAGGAAGTTGTTATTTTTTTCAGTTTAGTCAAATGAAATATATTTGAACCGCCAAATCCTCAATTGCCAGACAAAAGACATTTGTGTTCATCAATTATTGAAGAGAGGAAATTCTATTTTTGCTGATTTTAAACTCTTTAGTAATAGCAAAGGGCAAAAGCGGAAACTATTTGCCACTCTCACGTTGCTCAGGGAAAATCCCATTATTACCATGGCCAATTTTCCACATTAATGCAAGCTCAATCTTGTTCTCGAAATTGATTTTAATAGCCTTGCCTCTACTACAGACTTGTCTTATACATTTATAAATTTAGCAACAGATTGTAAGTAGCCAAGTTCAATCCAAAAATGAAAGAAGATACTTGTGTTATTTATAAAGCTCACTTTCATTTCAATTCAGGATGCGCCAATGTTTCTGTGAAATTGCCCTAATTACTCAGGGAAAAATGCTTGACACAAGAAAATACTGAATTCAAGTAAAGAAAAATTAGTATTTATGTATGACCATTTACTGACGAAACTAGGTTTTTGTTATAAAATTCAAACAAATGATTCTCAAGGAACAAAAAGTTGTTACTGATATGGTGCCAGAATTACCTAAATATGTCTAATTAATTTATTTTAGGAAATTTTATTTGTGGTGGTGTATACATAGTGAATGATTGTATGACATGTCACAAGGGTGTCAGTAATGTAAATTGGTTTTCGAGCACCCAAGACTGTTTACATCATGATGTTTTTGTCTATTATAGTTGAGATAACATCTTTGATTTGTTATCAGCATGGTAAAAAAAATTTATAGCTCCAGTTTATAGAGTGACGCAGGGCTTACATGTATCAGTGAAACTTTGAAGATGTAGCGTTATTGTCACTCAGTGTGGATCAGAGGGGGGGAGGGGTGAGTGGAGGTTAGTCTATCACCGGTTGTCTCGCAGCACAATGTCAGGTATCCATGAGAAATGGCGAAATTTTTAAGGTCAGCTACATGTCAAAAATGAACATATCCAAGTGGGAGTCTGATTGAAAGCTTATACAAGACAAGTTTTAACTAAATGCAGGGTTTTATTCAAGATGCAATTTTCTCATCGTTAAAAGCTTGCCGCTTTTAGGTTGTAGAATTTATCTGAGCCAAAGGAAACTTTGAAAAAGTCACATGAAAGTCGATTGTCTCAAAGATAAGGATTTGATAGCTGTATGTATTATTTCAAAATAGTGTGATATGTAATTTGAATCGTTCATGGTCAAATCTTTGGAAGTTAAACATGAAGCTTTTCTTCAGTTTTTAAGTTATCATCTCTTGTTTATATCATATCTGAAAGCATGCAAAAGTACAAGCAAGAAAGAGAAAAGTTATCATATATATTGGTTGTACATGTTCGCACATAAGTAGCCCACAATTAAGCGTCAAACATAGCACTCAGTGTCCAATGTTATACCATGAGAAGGGATTGTTCATTGGAACAAATTTTTGGTGGTGATTTTTTTGTACTTCCTGGGGTGGATTCAGTATTGTATGAGGGTTTTGAAATCTAATATTAATCAAATTAGTTCATCTTTCGGTTACAATACATGTAGAGTTAAACATGTCTTCAAAGATGTATTTTAAATGACCAACGTACTGGTGCTGGAAAGCAGTAATTTTTTGTCCCTTGTTTTCGGACCGTATACCAGATACTATAATGTCTATTTTGAAGTGTTATCTATTGTGGTCATGTTTCTTTCGAGGTTAGCATTTAAAATACATCTTTGAAGACATCTGCATTGTGTCACATTCTTCACACTCATGTTCCAGTTTCTGTGGGGTGAAATTTAATCAGCAAGAAAAAAAAAAATGACCACACGGATAGCTGATAATTCTAGTGAAAGAATTTTGTCATCATCAAAAGCATCATCAAGGCTTTTCGGCCAAAGAATTCTACACAGAGCTTTTTTTCCCTGAATTTCCAACAAGAAAATACACTGTATCTTATGACTTTGTGTAGTTAAGTCACACTTTTTCTCAGGGTCTTGCAGTGTTTTTCCCTCTATCTCTGATACATAGTGAAACCAGTCTTCACATAAAGTTGTTTCAATAATTTTACTTTTTGTTGGGGGAAAAATTAACAGAAGTGAGACCTTTGTTACTATTACCATTGGCTGCAATATTTTGTCTTAAATATGATTATTCCAAATTAGATGGTAAAAATTATCATTATCCTTTATTGCAGAGAGGACAGCCAATAATTCTAAGTTGAATGAGCAATTAATATTACTCCAATTATATATATTGCATCTATCTTGCCTCTTTGCCCTTATTTCAATATTTTTTTAGTAGTATTTCCATAGAGCAACATATTGCATGAAAGAAGAGACATTGATGTTGAGTAGGGAAGGGGACCAGGGCTGTTTTATTTCTTTCTTAGTGAGGTATATGTATTAACATTTTCCAAAGTGAAGCTTTAATACGTGCAAAAATAGAGTTCTTATCAGATTATGTCTCTGATTGTTGACAGACTCAAAGCTTTATTTGTGTAAGTAAATTACCAAAAGGTTAAACCTTTTATATTGAGGAAAGGAACCACATTCTGCGCAAGTTTTTTAAGTTGGTAATTACTTTCCAAAAGACACTTAAAACCACCTACAAATGTGAATGGATCTTATTTTCAACTGTGCATCACTGTCTGCATTGCATGTAGTGCTCTTTTTCACTGTCCATTGTGTATTTTAAGTTCCCTTTGCAGGAAAGTTTTATTCATGTTTGTCTCTACTACATGTTCATTGATATTGTTATTTATATGCCCCATGATAAATTCTTACAATTACATGAATGATAAAGCACATTTAGCAAATATTGATGTCAAGATTTATGTATTATGGCAGTACAGAGAGTTACCGTAAAGAAAACTTAACTTGCCATATTCACAGGGTTCATGTTATTGATTGAAAGTAATTGACAAGTTGTAATTCTTGAAGATTTATGAGTGCACTAATTTAACTTTACTTATGCTCTAAACAAACCCAAATCCTTAATTCCTTGCTGCACATGGAGCAATATTAATGTAAGGCATAATATTGTGAAATTACTCTGGTAACATTTTTCATTTTCAAGTGGACTCATGGTATGCAAGCACATTGTAACACTAACTATACATTGTCTTAATTGTCTTTCTTTGATTCCATTTACAGGATGCGACATTTCTTTATGGCCTAGGGATTGTATATTTTAACTTCTCAGCATATCCCTGGTAAGAGCAACCATTTCATCCCACTATTTTCAGTTGAGTAAGGTGCGTTTGCGGAAGTTCACCAACCATGTTTTGACGTTAAAATCATGTTGTTGGCTGCGGAAACTGGGTCAGTTTCCAGTGGTAACAGGCTTTCAAGTTTTACATTTGATGACACACAGCTCTTGATATTTGGTTTTCATTGGACAGGTGGCTGTGACAATACTGTTATTTCATGGTTGAAACCCAGTCACCAAACTTTTTGCATATCTTACTCAACTGATACTTGTGGTTAAGAATACTCCTATGTAAGTTTATTATAAAGCATGTTGACAGTCAAGTCTTCCTAAACTCTTAAACTGTGGTAATGGCTTCTATTAGTAGTTGGTGGTTCAAATTCATCATTGGTTTTTACTTTTTAAACCAGTATTGATATGTGATTTTTCTTTATCAAAATTAAACTGGCTTGAAGAATTTTGAACTAAAGAAAATATTAACCTGTAAGTACACCTGTATATATCTTGAGTCTCTTGGGATATTGTAAAATTACAAAGTCCTTGGTATTCTGGGTTTCTCAGCTGTCCCTGGTTCTCTAGCATCCCTGGTGCACTTAGTGTCCTAAATTTGTTAAGTGTCCTTAGTATGTCTCAGCTTAGACTATAAGCAGTCCCTTCCTCTCAGTAAATTTCTGTTAGTGCACCATGCAGAATTTCACTTAGTCTGTAGTCCTTGTGTTTCAAGCAACTCACTCCCAAAGTCCCCAGTTGCCCTAGCCATCACAAGGGTCTTGGCTGTCCCAAGTGTAGCACACCAGTCCCATTCCTTTCAGTGTCCCAGGAGTCTCAGGTATTCTAGGCCTCCCAGGTGTCTAAAAGGGTTCTTTGATGAGTCAAATCCACACATTTTCATTTGGCTCCCCTAGTATTAAAAAAGCCTAAAGATTTCTCAAACCATTGTGATTACCATGGCAACATTACAGCCTCTAAACTTCAAGAATTAGTTTGTTGACCTCATGTCTCATTGTTGCATTGCAATCAATAACTCATTTAATGTTCTTCTGCAAAGTTGAAAATTTCAAGTTCATAGCCCCCTTAACTATTTTAAATTTGTGTTGGTATCAATCTGTCACAAAAAAAGGGCTACAGTAAAACACCCAAACCATCTGGAACCACCTGAAAGGACAATTTATACCTAAAGAAATTGTGTATTGATTCTTTTCAACAGGGCAGTAAAGATCTTTCAACAAGTGCTGTATATAGACCCCAGCTTTAATTGTTCCAATGAAGTTCATCTCCGACTGGGAATCATATTTAAAGAACAGGGAAGCTGTGAAGCCAGTATTAAAGTAAGTTAATATTGAGATTGTTTGATAAGTTAAATCTCTGAAACACCGACAAAACAAAGCAAGGAGTAAGTTTTTCTATTTACTCCGTAAAGGTGGGGTTAAGATTATGAAGCATACATTTCTGAGGAAAGTGAAGACCAATGTCAAATTTGTAATTGAAAGAAAAAAGCAGGAGTTTTTATTCAAATCCACAAATTGTTGTGCAACTCCTTTTGGCAATTCATAACTATGTTTTGTTTTGTTTGCAGCATTTTCAAATGGCATTAATGGATTCCAGCCCTTGTTCTTTATCAAAAGTTGAAAGTAAGCTAGTAATGCTTATGTCACAAATAGCTTTATATGTTTGATTAGTCTGAGCAGCATGGGAAAGAGCACTTTTAAAGTAACACCTACTTTCCACATTATGCAGTCCATAGAAGGACTATAGATTTTCAGATTGCAATAGTGAAGATTTAACAATGTCTATAACATTAAATTTTAGGGGCCATGTATCGTAGCCATTGAAACAGTTTCTGAATTTTCAATGTTCTTGCTCAGATTAGATATAAGTGTTAACTTAAAATTTTGTTTTTCTCTCAGTTCGCTTTCATCTGGGACACCTTTTCGAGATGCAGAACAAATGTGATTTAGCGCAGGAAATGTATGAGACTATCATAGAGACTCCTAATACGCCTAATGCTGTCAGGGCTAATGCTTACAAACAATTAGGTAAGTACACGGTTGGTATTGTATTTAACAGAGTGGTTTTCACTTACAATGTCACTTGAGATTAAATGGGAAATAAGGAATGGGTAGTCAGGAATTGGGATTGCTAAAGCTACCAAGATCTTTAAACTATTTAAAATTAACCTGGTAACCTTAGATCTCAAGGTGAAAAACGAAATCAGTTGTCTGAAGGTTTGCTCTGTGTTTAGCCTCCAGGCACCACATGAGATTTGCAGATAACAGATCTCTACATATAGTTACAGTTTTTAAGTTGTTTAGTCATAACTGGACAGTTTCTATTCTTTTCTCTAAAAAGGGTGGATGTATTACAACAAAGAACACCTGGGTGACAGAACATCCAGAATGGAAAAAGCTGTCCAGTTGTTGCTGAAAGCTATTGAGACAGATCCGAACAGTGGCGCTGCATGGTATTTAATTGGAAGGTAGGATATGTTTTTTATTGTTAGTAGCAGCTCTTTCAGCCCATTTCAAAATATTATGTCCTTAGCATTTTACATTTTCCTCACTGGCTGGACCCTGTATCATTTCTCTACTAATTGTGTTCCACAAGCTCAAATTTTAACCGCAGATTATTAGGGTTTAAGTTATTGAATCCACATTACTGGTAAATGTTTTTGTATTGTAGGTGTTATGCCATGCAAGGAAAAGTTCATGATGCTTTCACTTCATACCGTCATGCCATTGACAAGTCAGAGGCAAATGCTGATACATGGTGCTCCATAGGGTAATAAGTTCTTTCTCACACCAGATTTTCTGATGTTAAAGTAGTTATTATTTTTGTGGAATGTAATTAAAACCATTGAACATTTACTGTTTTTTTTGCAGTGTATTGTATCAACAGCAAAATCAGCCCATGGATGCTTTGCAGGCCTATGTGTGTGCCATTCAGTTGGACCCAACCCATGTGGCAGCATGGACAGACCTAGGTATTCTATATGAAGCCTGTGAACAGTTGAGGTAAAGATATTTTGTGTGCATCTGCTCAGTGTCCTCCAAAAACCTCAGCAGCCAGAATTTTCACCAGCCACTTTTTTCTTTTTTCTGTTCAGTAGAACAAAATGGTGAAATACCTGCGTTGATCTGAAATAAACTTTTACCCTGGCTTTATTTTTGTATATATACCCAAAACCACTGATTAAAACTGGAAAGAAAACAGTGAGTGAAGACAAAGGGAATAGATACTCACCAAATAAGTGCTTGTGCCCATTAGGGACCCACTTGTTTCTTGCCAGTTATTTTTTTTGTATTGTTGGTCACTGAAAAATCTGTGGAGAACACTGATTTGCTCTTTTAATAGCCCAATATGAGAGCTGAGAATTTTTACGGGTCACTCATTAGCAATCCTCCTTTCTGTCTGCTTCACTATTCTTATGATGCTAGTTCAGAGAATTTGTCATTGGATCAACTAACAATCACCGAATTTATAATTTTGTTTATTTCTATCTTGTGTCTGCTTGATATTGTATTGGTATTGTG